AAGATACAGTATGTGAACTGCTGTTAAACTTCTATACCTGTCAGAACTTTCCTTCCTCCGTGCACAAAGGCCATACTCAATAAAAAGAGCTCTGAAAATGTCTTGTTATTATCCCGGTATCTTCCCAAGATTTGAGACTTTAGGAAGGAGCTAGGTTTTAAAACCATGAGCTGTGTAGGATGGTGAGTCCAACTAACTGTATATCGAGCTCAACTTTTAATTAAATTTTGATCCCATACCAATGGGTTGACATTGGATTTCTCCCTAAGGCCAGACTGTAATACCAAGAAATGGCATGTCAAGTTCCTGACTCCCACTTTCCTCCTTGCCACCGGACCCTCATACCAGCTAACTTTGACTTTCATCCCTGCGGGTGAGGCACACACTGTCTTTCATTTATTTTATTTCAGAGCACCAGGAGCAAAAGTTCGACAATGCTATATGGTTTGCCATCTGTCAGTCTCTTTGCATGAAAATGCCCCTGGGGACAATTTGGCAGGGGAGACCCTACCATAGGCAAAAGCCCCTAATTTTTATTTTGGTTATATCTAACAAGCCAAGATTTCCCCTATGCACACTCACAACTCCACTACAAACACAGGCAGGCTCGTTATATAGAATTAGTAAGGAGAGCGCTTTCACTCCCAATCATTTTCCGCTCTTGTATCATGTATTTATTACCTATCAGGAATGAAAAGAAATAAAGACTTATAAAATACATTTGTGTGTAATTCATTTATCTTCTCAATTAAGTTATTTAATTTAATTAACGTTTTTATTAAATTTTATTAAAGTTTGCATGTGTTAACACAATCTATGTGAGCTTGTTATGCTCCTCCGGGTCATGAGTCCTACAGTAGATAAGCTTTAAAGAGAGGTATGTTGTTATTATTGTCTGTGTCTATGTGTCTTTTTCCAATATTTTGGTTATCGCATTGACTTGTGCAACCATTAAATTTCTAAAATTGAATATAAACATAGTCGAGAATAAGCACAGCAGTGACCATTGAAAAAAGATGCAATTCAAAGCATATTTTATCCAGACTAAACTCAGAGATAGCAAGATGCCATACTGCATGGCCCTTTAGTACTCAGTAGGTTTTTAGTGCTGTTCGTTTATATAAAGGGTTTGTCAATTGCCTCACCTGATTGTTATTAAACATGATTCCCAGAGTCAAAATTGTTCCGGCAGTCTTCAGTGAGCCAAGATGATATTTGATATTTAATTACCCAGAGCACAGCTTTTGTACACAGATGCCTGCAGTTTGTGGAACAAAGTCCAGCATGTAGATTAAAGGTTAAGTCACAAGAGTTCATATCACGTGTTTGGGTTCATAACTCATGTGAACATATTGCTGTTATAAATCTAGACACTAATTTGGCTTTCAGTTAATAAGACTTAACATTCATTTGATCACTGTAAATGTATTTTTAAGTGAATAGTCACTCTTTTGATAAACCATTACAACATGTTTATTGCTTCTCCTTCGGTTTATCAGAAGGATGAGGAAATAATATCCATTAAGCATCGATATCCTTACTCTGACACTTAATTATTGCATTTCATCAACAATTACATCATCAATTAAGCATCAGAAGTAAGGATACCAAGTTTGGCTCAATTTCAATTCTCTTGTAACAATTGGTAATGTATTAATTTCCCTTAAAACCATGGCATATGTATCGACTGCATCTTCCACCAGTGTTGATGGAAAAAGTTTCCACTAATCAGTGTCATTCTTCATCAGTCCAAGGAAAAGAAATGGCACTATGACCGCATCTTTTTGCTGTTACGTACAGGTAAAATACATTATGTAAAGTAAAACCGGACAGGGCTATGGATCATTTTGGGTTTCCTTGTATAAAAAAAATAAATAAATAAAAGAATAAAAATTTTAGGTTAAAAATTAGGACACAAGACTTTATTCATCTATATATGAAATATTTCTACATATGTCTATGATTCTCTAGTTTAGGGTATTTGCTTTTTTAAAACAGTCTAAATAACTGTTCAGCCATAAAGGTTCCAAATTGATGACGATCCTGACCCAGTTTAACTGAGCAGTAGAGCTAAAGCTGTAGAGCTTCAGCTGGGTTT